CTAACAGCAAAAATTATTATCAAAATAATGCCAAGAGGTAGAAACACATTCAACACATTACTAGAAAGGAAAAGGTTGAAAGTTATTAGAAATTAGAATAAATCTAATTGTTTTCAACACTTCTTTATGCTGTTGTTTTGTTTGTTTGTTTGTTTTTTTTATCAGAATTTATATAAATTTAAATTGTTATAATTTGTGCCAAACCATAAAATGTACACACGAAAAGACGTTTGGTGTACTGCAATTTGCAAAGTGTAACCTTAAAATAATAAACTTTGAACCTTTTCTTCACTGTAATGTGTTAAATGAGTTTGTCTTTCCTAGCATTTGTTTTTATTAAATTTTCAAAATCCGTTATTTCGTTTTTTAATAACCCTTCTCTCTCTCTCTCTCTCTCTCTCTCTCTCTCTCTCTCTATCTATCTATCTATCTATCTTATATATATATATATATATATATATATATATATATTAGTTAGGTGTCGTGAATCTTTGGAGGCGCCTAATTTAAAGCCCACAAAGAAATTGAGCGCCTTTTAGTCATCAGCTTCTCTCGATGGTTTTCCATCATCGGTGTATATTTTGTTTTCGTTTTTTTTTTTTGTATTTTTTTTTACCGGGAAGATAAAAAATAAACTTTTATTTCAAGCAGCTTCTTTTTAATCCAACACATACTGAACTCTTTCTTCAAGTAAACCTTATAAATCTATTGGTTTGTATTACACCATATTCATTTTTCTTGAGGTTTTTTTTTTTTTTTGTATTTTTTTTTGTCAAACTTTAAATGTCACCTTATCTACTTCTTTTTATCTATGCTTATATCCCAACACCAACAAACATTATATATATATATATATATATATATATATATATATATATATATATATACTTGGACTATTGTCCCCATCTTTGTTGCCATATTTATCACAACGTTTCGGCCGAGCCGATGTACGCTCCGGTCTTCTTCAGGTGGTTGGAATGTCGAACTGAAACCTTTATTATTTTTAATATTAATATCTTTATTGTTCATACGCTATTTTTGTACATACAAATATCTAAGTAAATGCTCTGTTTATAATAAACCTCATTTGTTTAGGCTAAGATTAGATATGAGCGTTCGAGATAAATCATGGGAAATTTGCTAACCGGACGCTTCTTCTGTAGCTAAATGGTATAGCCCGTCAGGCTATATGACGGTTCCGTCGGAGGACACATTTTCTATGAAATTTCTCTATCATTCATGCCGGTAAATGTTGTTAATACTGTTTATTATAAACAGAGCATTTACTTGAATAGTTGTATCTATAAAAATAACGTATAAACAATGAGTATATTAAAATAATTGTCGGATTTAGTGCATTTCAATATATATATGTGTGTGTGTGTGTGTGTGTGTGCGAAAATTTCTCAGAGTTAACCTGTAGAAAAGACAATATTTATAAATATAAATGACAATAGGAAAACTGTAATAGTTGCCAACGCGTTTCGTCCAATGTGGACTTTCTCAAGGCAAAAGAAATGAATTTATTTAAACAAAGTAACTAATAATAAGAAAAACAAAATGTCCTTAGCAACTAGAAAAATTTAGAGAATGCTTTTTTCATACTGTTAACTGAAAATTACGTCAATTACTGTCACGTGTGGAGATATTTTTTATTGTTGTGTTGATGGATTCAACCATTTTCTTTTGATTTCTTGATACTGTTGTGTACGTTTGTTTGGGAGACTAGTAATTCTGTTAAGAAACGTGAAATAGGGAAAAAGCCTGGGCGTAGATTAATATTTGGGTAATATTCAATGGCGGCACTTCTAAAAAAAATAAAAATAAAAAATATCTCACTCAGAAGGAAAATCCTAGAGAGTGTCGCCATTGAATATTACCCAAATATTAATCTGCACCCAGGCTTTTTCCCTATTTCACCTTTATTTATATGTATATATACATACATACATACATACATACATATATATATATATATATATATATGACTAAAGACTAAAGGAAGCCTTTTCTTTGTCGACGTGTTTCGTCCTCTGAGTGACTTTATGAAGCCATGAGTGAGTATTTTGTTTAACAACAAGCATTTATAAACAGAAGTAAAACATAAAATATATCGTCTGGCTTTCAAAGCAAAGTTTTTTTAAATTTAAGAACGCTCATAAATATTCTTCATTCTGTGAAAATCAAGATAAATTATAGAAGATGTTTTGTGATGTAATTTAACGCTTAATAAAAGAAAGTGAGTAAACGTTGTTGATTTTGTAATTTGTTTATACATATTTATTTACTTTTTAAATTTAAGAATATTATTTTGCAACAAGTATTTATAAGCAGAAGGAAAACATTGTTAGTTGTTCAGAAGTTATAAATTTAAGAAAGTTCATAAGTATTCTTCACATTAACAGAAAGTCAAGGTAAATTGTGAAGTATGCCAAGTGATATAAATTAATGTCTAATAAACAAAAGGGGGTAAATATTATTGCTGTTGAATTTTATTTTATAATCTAATTGTTGTTTTTTAAAAGATGTTTCATTAAGACGGATTATATATAATGGTGTTTCATTAAGACGGATCAAAGTCAGCAGTAAATAAATCAGTGTTATTGGTGAAACTTTATTAATTTCTTTATTGGATCATATTATTTAAGTCATGGCAATTATGTGTGAAAAATAGTATTGTCTAAACTTCCGCCAAATCTGAAAGAAAAAGACAAAAACTCATTAGACGCTTAAGATTAATTCACATTAAAATCGGTCCAAGTTATTGGAACACCCTTTATTATTTTAGTTTGAGAAATTAATTTGTTGTTATATATATTTTAAATAATAGGTTTTGAATTTAACGTTTTTTCTTTAATTAAAAAAAATTATAATCATGTATATTGGATTGGGAAAAGGAGTATATCTTTTAGGAAAGGAGATACTTGAAAATCTCGGGACGCATCTATCTATTTCAGTCTGGTCATATCTATTTATGTTTGTTTCTCTCAGTCTATTCCTATCTATCTGTCCCAATCCGTTCATTGGGCATTTGCCTTTTGTCAATGGTTTCCTTTATCTCGGTTCGTAAAAAAACATCTCTTGAATGCTTTAGTACACATCATCAGTGATGTTTCAAGCTGAGGTTCATTAGGGGTTTCGGATCTTTCAACATCATACACTCCTCTCCACGGTGACCCAGCCGAAACTGATCGGGTATCGACTTGTGTACCTTCCGTCAGCTACAATTCTTCCTATCTTACGAAATGCACACCGTACGGCTCTTCTTGGCAATTTATTGTCCAATCGCGGATGACTTCCGATTCACCACCAGAATTCGCTCTTCCATAAAAAAAAAGGAAGGAAACACAGCCACAATTTCTATCTGATCAGGAATATAGCGGCGTGCTTGGCTTGAAGTAATAAGTACAGATTTGTCATTTACTGAGATTATCTCAATTCTTTCCGATCTATTAATCTGCATCTTTCATATCTATCTATTTGTCTATCTGTTTATTTCTGTCTTTTGACTCGTAATTAACTAATTACGGAATTATGCCAGATACTAATCCTCATGGTTTCCAGCGTAAGCTCGAAACATTAGTCAAACAAATACCTCAACATTGTATATAAAAACGGAGTAATATTTTTAAAGGATAAAAAGGTTTTTATACGCTATTTAATACGGTATATCAATTCAGTTTCTTTACATCTTTGTTATTATCTATCTATTATATTTCTGCTTAAGTTTTTTTCTATCTAAGTCTGTCTATGGACAAGTCAGTGTAGCCAGCTAAATCCATCTATCTATCTATCTATCTATCTATCTATCTATCTATCTATCTATCTGCCTACCTATGTATCTATCTCGTGCCTTCATGGTGATTGTGTCTAAGCTATCGTTGTTGACTATTTCTATTGTGTAATGTGTACGATCATATACCAGTCCTTTCATGTTTATCGAGTGATGTAAGGTACAAAATTATTTATAAACTGACTAGAATAGTTAGATAGATAGATAGATAGATAGATAGATAGATAGATAGATTTAAATAAACTAGAAAAGATAGATAGATAGATAGATAGATAGATTTGAACAAACCAGAAAAGATAGATAGATAGATAGATAGATAGATAGATAGATAGATAGATAGATAGATTTGAATAAACCGGAAAAGATAGATAGATAGATAGATAGATAGATAGATAGATAGATAGATAGATAGATAGCGGAACATTCAAAGGAAAAAATAGTTGAGTGAAAAAAAGAAAAATAAATGTTCGAAAGGAAAAATAAAAGATGAAGAAAAGCTTGAAAAGAATGAAATGAAGGAATTGCAAAGTCTGACGTCAAACAAGACCCACTAATTTCGAAAGTATGATTTCCATCTTCTACTGTCCTCCACCAAGCCATTATTTATTACTCATGCGCAAAACCTAACCGGTTCCTGTTTACATTCGTCTAAAAAATTCGACCCCCCACCCCACCGTTCCATTACCACAACTGATTTCATGTTCGCGCCTTTTAAAACGCCCGATCACTGGATTCGATCCTAATGATCGATTATGATTTAGATTCCCGACCTTTGCTCTCACTTTTGCATTACTGTATTCTTTTTCTAAAGATATCTTTTCTTTCCTGTATCTTTTACTACAGTCTTTGTTTCTGATCTATGCTTTCTTGTCTGTTTACTTTTGCGTCTGGTAATGGCTTTCTTCTCAACCAAAAGTTTCACCTGGCGTTTTCTCTTCGAACCCGGACAGCTTCCTATTGGAATCTTCTAGAAATAGGTACAAGAAAACAAAAGAAATCCAGTATTTTTTATTATTATTATTATTTTATTTATCTATTTTCACCATTATTGTTTTACGTTTCGTTATTGTTGTTTTTTTTTCTGCTTGCTTCTGCAGTCATTCTTCATAAACAGCTTTACATTATGCATAAAGTATGACATTTCAATCTTCATTGCTTTTTACTTTCTTCGATGTCTTCAGGCGTAAGCGACATTTATTGTTTGTCTGTTGCTGAGCATGAGGTATAAAGTTCTTTAAAGTAAATAATATTCAAGAAATTTAAAGTCTATGAAAAATCCTAGTATGTTTTTTTTTTACAATGATGTTCGCCCTATACAAGATCCAAGAGCCACTCGAGGTAGAGGGTTACAGATTAAGAGGTACCAACCACCAAGCAATTGCCACTAAAACACAAGTGGCTACTGGAAGTGAAAGAGAATAACAAGATTTCAGATATGAAAATATGAGTTTGAATATTACCAAGAGTTTTTCTTTCTTCTTTAAAGAATGTCACTTCCGTAAATTGAAAGTCTTAGATTGCAAGATTGTAGTGATCAGGAAAACATCCTGTCGGGAATCTGTTCCACAAGGCAGCAGTACTTGGAAAGAAGTAGGTCGTCGTGTATTAGTTATGTGCCAGGCGTGATACACACTTCGGCGATCATGTATCATATGAAGTTCCATGTGGCATTTGTAACGAAATATATTCTAAACCAGTTTAACTAAGGATGTCAATATTATTGTAAAAGTAAGTTTTATCGACTACCTTTATAGCACGCGTGCGTACCTCAGATAGCCAGACAAACAACTTCAATCAGTTATGGGCCATGCGTAATATACGCTTAGGCGATCATGTATCTTTCGATACATGACTGACGAAGCTGATTTTTTCCCGCAGTAGGTTGCCATTTCTTTCTGCGGCAGACCAGTTGCCATCAAAGGCTATAGAATACGCTCTATCCTGCTACTTACCCACAGCTGGGGCGGGTAGGGAGAAGAAGAGGATTCATACCTTTCTTAAGGGTATTAGCACGTAAGTGAATATTAAATGACTGGAATTCGAACTCAGCTCTCCGATTGCTCAATCCGGGCCGTTATCCATTAGTCCACCGTGCCTCCTAAAATAATAAGGCAGGTACAAAAACCCATATTGTATCATAATGGATGTTTGTGGACAAAATGAAACAACAGACAAAATGTTATAAGATCTCAAATGAAACTTTAAAACAAACCTTACAGTCAGTTATAGGCCATGCGTGATACACGACTGATGAGGCAGATTTTTTCCCCGCAGTAAGTTGCCATTTCTTTCTGCGGTAGACCAGTTCCTATCCAAGGCTATAGAACCCAATCTGTCCTGCTATTTACTCATATCTGGAGGGAGAAGAAGAGGATTCATACCTTTCTCAATGGCATTAGCGCGTAGGTGAATGTAATGAATTCGAATTCCAGTCAAATCCATTACATTCACTTACGTGCTAATACCCTTTGGAAAGGTATGAATCCTCCTATTTTAAGTAATTAAATAATATTTAAGAAATTTAAAATCTATGAAAAATCCTAATATGTTTTTGTTACAATGATGTTCCTCCTATACAAGATCCAAGAGCCACTCAAGATAGAGGGTTACAGTGTAAGAGGCACGATCCCAAGTAAGTGGCACCAAGACGCAATGGTGCACAAGAAGTGAAAGAGGGGAAAAGACTATAGAGTGAACCGGAAACACAATCCTAAACCGGAAACAAAGGACAAACCTCTACTCCTGTTGAAAAGAACATGGAAATGTGAACAAGACGATAGGCAAACCTATCTACTCCTATTGAGGAAAGAATATAAATAAATAGTAAATAAAAGCTTAGAGTTTTAGGCAAAGACGTTAAAACTATACAGCTGAAGTAACAATCTTGAAATACATTCCCGCCTTATAAATAAATGTATTAAGAACATAAATAAAGACACAAAGAGAAGAATTGAGTTAAACAAATATATTAACAGAAACAGTAATACAAACGAGAGTGTTACAGCAAGAATGTTCGGTCCGACTGTCAGAGCTGACTGCTGGAAACTTCACCCTCCAAAAGGCAATACCTGCTCCTATTTATAGCAGGGAGAGTCCATATGTGCGTGGGTAAATTATCATAACAATAATGTAGCTTGAATATTAGTAGTTTAGCTATTTCATCAGCATATTTTGTCAAATGGAGTTTGTCATATGTGAAAATTCTACATGGCTGTTCATTAAATAAATAGCAACAAAATTCAAATAAAAAATGTTTTTGACCATCAAGTAAAAACAAAATCCTGTTCAAAAAAGCTTTGACTCAGCTGAAATCTGGTACTACTACTACTACTTCTGGAAAAAAGGTTGGCTCTCCTTTTTTTCACTACCACCCGCCCTCGGAGTAAAACGTGTATATTGAAACCTTCATAAAACCAGGACAATAAACATGTTCTAATACGCACCCACAAGCACGAATGTCATAGATAACATATTTTTCTACATCTTTTGTGTAAATTCTGAATATTTTGATTACGTAATCACAGAATCTGACATATTTTTTCTTTTTCTTTTTTTTTTCAATGATGTTCACCCTATTCAGTGCTCAAAATCTAGTCGAAGTAGAAAGTTACAGAGTAAGAGAAGCATTTTATGGAGATATGTTGAAAAAATAATGGTTGATTCTTGACCTGAACATTTTATCATTCTAATGATAAGTAAAATATCCTCTTGAGAGTCGGTTCCATAAAGCAGCGATTCGTGAGAAGAGGCTGCTCGAGTGGAACTTACATCTCACCAATGGAATACAAAGAGACTAAGAATGATTTGCTACAAAGCGTTTGATTATTTACATTATTCGGACTATTGTCCTCATCTTTGTCGCCATATTTATCACAGCGTTTCGGTCGTTGTACGCTCTGGCCTTCTTCAGTTGGTTGGAATTTCGAAATGAACCCTCAATCCACTGTGCCATAGTGGATAAAGGCGTTTGTTAGATCCAGTGACAGGACCCAAAGAGTGTGACTTCAATACCAGGTTAAGGCAGTGGAGAACTTTCAGAGGGAAATTGGCAGGAGATAACTGCTAACTGACATCCATCAAACATGGCACGTAGAACTAGAACAGTCTAACCCAGTGAGCGAAATAAAGGGTTCAGTTCGACATTCCAACCACCTGAAGAAGGCCGGAACGTTGTGATAAATATGGTGACAAAGATGAGGATAATAGTCCGAATAATGTAAATAATGTACATAATACCTCATCTCAGAAATATAGACAGAGCGTTTCATGGCGGGTTTTAGTCGCGAAAGTTAGAACTGGTGGAACTAAGGATTTTTTTATAGCTTCTTGATTACATCCAATGTTTTTTCTTCAATCAATAAATTGTTTTGTTTTATACTTGTCCAGTTAGTAGGCCACTTTTCTCGTTTCGCCTGTTTCAGACAACTACTTATATTCATATTCTACGAAGTTTCACCCCAAAATTTCTCACTGACCAAATAAAATATTAAAGGTCGTTGCGCCTCATTACACACGGACACCTTCCTAAGTACTTGTCAGATTCAAAATTGCTAAACACCGCCGTGTATTCACTCAGCTAAGTGCAACCCACATTATTATTGATTAGATTCGGTACTGCTAAACTTTGTTAGGTGTTCACCCTAACACGTTCTAACAAAAGTTTAGTATTATTTGACCGAGATCCAGTGCTTTCAAATTCATGTGTTTGTAAGCAAGGATTTTATTGCTGCTTTTTAATAATTAAAAAAAAATAGAAAAAAATTTCTTGCCTTATATTTTTCTGATTTAGTTAGTTTAGTTTAAGTTTCAAATTTGCTATTTTATTGACTCCCGTTGCTTCGCATTTAGTTTTTGTATAAGTATTGGTTTGGTGCAAAGAACGAGTTTTATTATTTCTTTGTTCTTTTTTATAAGCCTGTTTTATCGCGCTACCACAATTTTTCCCACGATTCGCAAACGTAATTGCTGGAAAGTTAAGTTCTCAAAGAAAAATCTTGAAAGCAGTTTTCAAATTCATTGTTCCATTTGGTGAATAATATTTATTTTCTAAAGTTCACGCCCGCTGGAAAGCGTACGTGTATATGTAGTCATATATGCGTATCCAGAAGTATTTACATCTTTTGCCAAATTGAAAATGAAACACGAATCGGAAGTAATGGCAAAAAAATAAACAGCATTCAATTCTACAATATGTGATTAACTAAAGGAAATGCTTCATAAACACGCAGAATCAAATGTAGGAAGGTTGTCCAAAATGAAAGGTAAAAATATTTACGATGTTTATTGACTGTGTAAATAAAGCATTACTTTTACTGTTGCAATGCCAGAAACTGCCAGTTCGGACCAAACACACTGCAGTAGTAATTGTCTTCAAGACTAGGTTATAAAACATTACAATACGAACAGTATTTTTCAGATTTTAGCATGTGAAAATATTCCAATCCTTAATTGAAAAATGAGCTATTAAATATAAGGGGTGAAATTTATTGAACATTTAGGAAAGCTTTATAGAACATCACTGGCTATTCAATAATAATACATATTCACACAGAGACACATCCACACACACACACACACACACACACACACACACATATATATTCACACATATACATATATATACATATTCATGTATATTACTAAATTATTTGATATATTTTCTGTTTATACGTTATTTTTATAGATACAATGTATTTAGGTAAATGCACTGTTTTTAATTAAACAATATTAAAAGTTTCTCGAACATTCAGGCTGGTAAATGTAATTAATACTATTTAATTAAAAACAGTGCGCTTACTTAAATACACTATATCTATAAAAATAAGGTATAAATAGAAAATATATATATATATATATATATATATATATATATATATATATATATATATATATATATATATATATATATAATGAATCATTCATACAAAAAGTAAATTAGCAAAGTTAATTATATAAAATTTTATATCAATAACTTTGCTAATTTACTTTTTGTATGAATGATTCATTGTGATATAAATTGAACTGCACCACATATTTGTATATATATGTGTGTGAGTCTCTGTGTGTGTGTGCGCGCGCACGTGTGTGTGTGTGTGTGTGTGTTATTTCAAACGTTATTCTTAGTGGATACCCGTGTTTTAAATAGATGCGGCTTATTAAGTTTTCTCGAGTGATTAGTCTGTGTTGCAAACACTTTAAAAATTTTAAAGAACTGACGAGGTTTATTTTATACATGTGTATCCACTAAAAATAACGTTTGAATTCATAAAAACGTTGGATTAAAAATAAAACCATTAATTCTTACACACACACACATATATATTGTCTTCCACAGACAGACTGTTTCACTGTATCATCGGCTCATCAGTGTGGTTAGACGTCCGGTTGACTCTAGCTAGGATCGAAACCCGACTGCATTGACGTTAATCGGAGAATCTTACCCTAAGCCGCTGGCGCACGGCAAGGATGAACGTAACTTGAAGCCTATTTATTTTTAGATAAACCACCCAGTGACTGAGAGAACTCGATTTGTTTTATCGAAGAGTATTGCATTAGTAACAGTAATTGTCACTATTTACAAACTCACATTTCTTCAAACTTTGTACGCACCCATATATATATATATATATATATAAATATGGGGTGCGTACATAGATTTAAGAATTGCTTTATTCATGATTAAAAGGGCTCAATATCAGAAATAGAGCGTATGTAAATATAAAAATGGATAGTAAGGTCAACATCAAGCGGCGAACGATTGTTTAAAATTATTCTAGTGGCTGTTATATAGGAATAATTGTGGAGTTGAATGTGATTATTTGTAACTATTTTATAGTGTTACTTGTTAACCTTTTACTCCATATTTATAATTAATTAGATAATTATTTGTTGTTGATTATTATTATAACACTTACTTGTGTTTACGTGTGCATTCTTAGTTTGTTAATTTCTTTATCATTTACTTAACTTGTTTATAAATTTATTTGAATTTTTTGTTTTATTTTTCATGGAGATCTAATTTGTTTAGTTTAAAACGCTGACTTTGTCTCTGCGTTGTGTATAGTGCATATATTTAAACACATGTTATAGAGTATTTTGTATTTGTTATACTGAGTTAATATTAGTAACAGATAGATAGATAGATAGATAGATAGATAGATAGATAGATAGATAGATAGATGTGTGGAGCGCCGTTAAAAACTGTAAAAAGAAATCAATAAATTAAAGCAATGTCACTAAAAATTCAATTTTCGGCATAAGTAAGAACGCGTGCTCCAAATTCAAATTTCCACATTAGCATTTATTAACCAATCAGCTACATTATCTTGAATGTTATTCAAGCTTTCAAAAAGCAGACGACATCATTGTCGTTTGCTACAAAAAACTGAAAGCTCACACTAGTAAATGATTAAAACATTCTTTTCCCGCCTAAAAATTTAAATTAAAACTTGGGAAATATAATAACCAATAAAACTTCTGAGTTTAGTAAATTTAACATTTTAACATCATGTGTTCTGGTTTTTTCTTATAAATGGTGTATCGTAAATTAATAAGTCAGTTTTCGGTATTTCTTGACTGAGGAATGTAAACAGTACTGGATTCTCAAACTAATTTTTCGCGGTTCTAAGTCCCTTCTTGCCAATATTTTCTCACTTTTTAGAGTATTTCCTACAATACGAAAATATACGAGCGAGATATATAAACAATACGAATTGTAGCAGTAGAAATAATATGGCTCTCATTCGGCTGAAATCACAAAATACATTAATACGCATACATGAAACAACGTAAATACATGAATTTCGCATTAAGCTTTCACATACACCATTTCACTCATACTAACGCAATTCATTTCTGGTGTTGTAAAAAAATTTCGTTGAACTTTGTTTGGGAGGAGCTTTGTAATTTGTTTCTTTCACCTTAAAAGAAAACAAATATTATTTTTATACTCAATAATAAAATTATTTCAATTCGTAGAGCTGTGTTTGAAGATTATTTCTTTTCCTCGCTTTTCGCACAGTTTTTCCTATACAGATGTGAAAAGAATTATATATAATTATATAGATAGATGTGAATAGAATTAGATAGATAGATAGATAGATAGATAGATAGATAAGGATAGAATGAGACATATAGGTAGATGATAATAGAATGAGATAGATAGATATATAGATAGATAGATTAGGCTAGATATAATAAAATATTAATCCTACGTTTACTCAATAAAAGGATTTTTTTAAAAAGATCAAACGCCAAGTGCTAAAAAAAGTCTATAAACGCCACGCACAAAGCGATATCAATAAAATTCCGAAGAATTACTCCAAATAAATGACAAGAATCCACTAATAAATCTCATTAGGATATGTCTTAAGTTGCACATATCTATTTTCCGACGATTAACTATGTGACATAACAAACCAAAAGTACTTGATACTTTCCACAAGTTTCCATTATAACCTTTCCAAGAATTATTATACAATATTAATGGTGACATCGAAAAACCTATTAGTAATATAAAAGAGAAAATCTTTCTATGTTGAGAAAATCACCATCTCTTATATTTAATCATGTATGAAAGATAACTTATTGACAAATTACTGCTACATCATGTTGAAACACCCGTTCCCGTACGATCAGCGACGTTAAGCAACTTCGAGTCTGGTATGTACTCAGATGGGTGACTACTTGGGAATTCCAGGTGCTGTAAACTTGGATGTGCGGGTGGTGTAATGGATAATGGCTGGGAACTGTTAATCGGAGAGCCGAGTTCCAGTTCCAGTTAGGTTCGTTATATTTACTTATACTTTATATATACCTTTGGGAAAGATATGAATCCAGCCCTTCTCCCCCCCACCCCCGCGTCATAGCATAATTAGTAAGACTTTTATCTCTAAATCATTATTATCTCAAAAAATCTTACAATCTAAATATATTTTCTGGATTTAAATAACCTGTAAAGGGTTGAAAAGCCGTAGAAAGTGAAAAAAAAAAGAATTATTCTTACACTGCTTCTCTTCCCAGCTATGGGTTAATTAACTTGTATCGTTAAAACCATTATTATGACGCCAAAATAAAATTGCGTATAATATATTTATATTCCGGCATTAAATAACCCACAGAGGTTGATATGCCAATAAACAAAGCCAAATATATATATATATATATATATATATATGTGTGTGTGTGTGTGTGTGTGTGTGTGTGTGTGTGTTTGTCTCTCTCTCTCTCTCTCTCTCTCTCTCTCTCTATCTATCTATCTATCTATCTCTCCTCCCTCCCTCCCTCACGTTTTCCCTCTTGCCTCTCTTGTTTTCTCACTATCATCACTTTGCTATAAATATTGATGTTGTAACCTAGGGAAAGTTACTGAATACACTAAGAAGACGAAGGTTGGTCATGAACGATAATACTTAGGACGCGAACAACGCATATAGGATTCGCCAGCGGCGCGTAGAAATAGTCAACTGATAGAAGTGAGTCAAGTGAATTCCACAATGACTCTCCAACTGCAGGATATCTACCCCACTCCCAGGCGGTCAGATGTGGCACAAGGCCGAATTTTTATGTGAGATATCCGAGCACGTAAGCTCGGCCAAAAATTCCCCGAGAACCCCGTATAAAACGGGGTCAGTAGCTGTTTCCCGAGACGAGTCTCTGCTCTTCGACATAGCCTCCTTTGGGGATCCTCTCTGCCCGTAGGCAGAGATTGACTAGCACAGCTGGAGACGAATCACCAACTGCAGTATATCTACCAAACGCCCCACGTGGTCAAATGTGGCACAAGGCCGAATTTAATGTGGTCGAATTTAATTGGTCCTGATCTGGCATCTCGTCTGCAGTCGCTATCTCCCAGACGTGCCGTCGCCTCCCTCTGTCTTTTTTACAAATACTTTTATGGTAACTGCTCCGATGAGCTGCTTTCGCTGGTTCCTAGACTTCATGAATTTAAGCGTTCTACTAGGCTGGCATCTCGCTCTCACCCTTTCACTGTCGAAACTGTTAAATGTAGCCGTCTCTTCTACTCCAATAGCTTCATGTCTTGCACCTCACGCCTGTGAACCCCCTCCACTTTTCCTATTTTCCTGATAGCTATAATGTCCAACTATTCAAATGTAATGTCAATCGACGTCTCCAGGTGCCTTGATCTATCCCCTAACCTTCTCTTTTTACCCTTTCCTCTATCATTCCTATTTGCTCTCGCTCCAACTCTCACTAACCCCTTGCGTGCTAGTGGCCTCCTGCCTTGCTTGGGGTGAAACGCTTAAAAAAATTAATTTTTGAATAAATAACATGGAAGTAAGAAACCAGAAAATATTTTACAGGTAAGAAAAGTCTAAGAAGAAACTCTTAGCATAGAACTTACGGTTACATCTAGTAATTTCCATATTGAAATTATGAATCCTTGCTGTCAATCTAGTACTTTGCTTAAATTAGTGAAGTTAAAGTATCCACGAGGAAATCTCGTCAGAAGAAATACCGTGAAAATATTCATCGAATTGTAGGAAAGTGACTGAAGCCGAGAAGCCAGCCCAGGACCGATAGCGTTGCAAATACTTCTTTGTATTTTGTCAACAATATATATATATATATATATATATATATATATATATTAAAAATTAACTGATTTAAAATGTGATTTCTTCGCTACACAGGAATTACCATGTTTCAAAAACCGAAGCTAAAAACTTCACATTTAATTATATAATTAAATTAAAAGCATTAGTTCTTTCATCTTCAAGCGAATTTTGGAATTTTGCAATTCTTTTGAAGATGAAATAGAACTAATGCTTTTAATTTAACTATATAATTAAATTTGAAGTTTTTAGCTTCGGTTTTTGAAACATGGTAATTCCTGTGTAGCGAAGAAACCATATTTTAAATCAGTTAATTTATAATAATTATGCTCTGTAAATTTACATTGAGCACTGTTTTGTAAAAATAAAAATATCAATAAGAACAACGGATTATATATCTTACTGTTCTTTCTTTTTATTATAATATATATATATATAGATGTGGCAAATGGTAAACTTATGAATGTGCAAGATAAATTCTGTCGTGAAAAATCGTCTAGCTCGACATTGTGAACCAACCTTTCGAGCAGCGGACTAAGCAGTCGATTCAATATAATTATTCGACTTCATGTCAGTAGCCGGATTATTACAGTGGGGTCAAAATGGTAGAATTCGTGTGCAAAGCCACACGATAGACCTGGGAATGTGTGACGAAGAAACGTTAGAAACGCATACCGTATCACTTGTTGACATTTGAGCTTTGCTTTGTCGGTTTCTTGTTTAATAGCGTCAGCTTCAAGGATGAAGATCAATAAAGAAGGAAAATCAATTTCTTTGATATTCTAATAATGATTCTCACTATTGGATTTAGCATGAAAGTACTCAGTCATGAAATGCAGAAGAGCTGTCGAGGTAATAACGCCTGATGCCATACATCATGCCGTAAAAAACAAACACTAAAGTTTTATAGCAGATAAATAAAACATTCGACAATCTTTAACCTTTTCGCCCGTAAAAAAAAAAAAAACCCAAAAAACGAAATTTAAAATGGACGGTTTTTCCCTTGACACCGCTATTATTTTAACTACCTTCACTCCTCAGCAAAGTTTATTTTTTTAAAAAGCGATTATTAGAATTTTAATAAAGCTTAAACATATGAACGTGAGATTATACATTTTCTTTGTTCTTGAGACTTTACAACAAAAATAATATTTAAAAATTTTAAATTTTAATATTTAAATTCTACTTATTTATTTGATTGTTTATTTACACTATTTATTATAGTGCTTATTGCTACGATTGGCTAACATCAACTAACTGCTAATGGATTCGAACTTTATAAAATGGTAAATATTAACGATGCCCTTATAATTGGTTCACATCTTTTAATAACTTAGTGAATGTTTATAAATTTATGAATAAATATCGTTTTCATATTTATTTCTTTATAAATTGGTAAATATTGAATTGTATTAGTTTTTAGAATGGTGTAAATATAAAATTATTCTTGTAGATAAACAATCTAATAAATAAATAGATGTTGATATTATATATGTTTTAAATTCTCATAAATAAAGTTCAAAATAAAATTCAATTTCATCATACGTTTCGGTTTATATTACAATTCTAATCATCGCATTTTAAAACAATAAACATTGCTGGGGAGTGTCGATAGTTAAAATAATAGCGATGTCAAGGGAACTCTTTTCTGCGTGCACAGAGGTTCAAGATCGGTGAATATTCTCTCAGCTGAAAAGCGTCTTTTTCCCCGTTCGTCGTTTAAGAGAAAGTCTTACTCCCAGATAAGAAGAAATGTATGAAGTATACCATGTGTATGAAATTCATGGCAGCTTGTGCTCTTACGTGCTTTACTGTGCGTGTAAACGTATCTTTGGGTTTCCAAACAACAACTGATATCATTAGGGATATTCCTCGAAGCTGTGATTCAAACGAGAAGTTTGATAACTCCGCCTTCCTGAACCTTAACTAATTACGTTCTTGATTATTTCCCACTTGTTTTATCCTGCCACAACGTGTCGCCACGGTCTGCCATCTTACCTGTCCACAATGAAGAGCATCTGCTGTCTTCGTTGTTTCATGTGGGAAAAAAACGAATGAATAATGTTTAGCAGATGGATAATGAACAATGATTAAACGTGTTTTTTTCCGGGGGTCAAATTAACAATTCTCGCCACAATTTCATGTGCAGTTATGCACACAGGTTCATCGGAAAACTAGGAAACAACGAAAATGTTATCAATATTCAACAACGTTAGACAAATAATTCGCAATATTAAAATTAATATTGTCATAAAAATGACCATATATAAACTGAAATCTACGTTTCAATTTTTCTTTTACATTCTTATTATTCTTAATTCTGCGTAATACAAGGCTTGAGAGCCACTCAAAGTAGAGGCTTAGTATTAAAAGAATAACGCTGAATGAGGTGTGTGATATGAACGGAGGAAAGAAAGTTTACATGATAGTTGACTCTTGTCTCGAAGAAATCAAAATGGGTGTGTTCAGATTTTTCTTCTTATATTTGAGATACAAATGAAATGAAGGTGATTCAATGACGTAGACGTAGTCTGGCCTGTTCTGGCTGGTGAAACTAAAGAATGGTACTATCTGAACATTTACCATGGAAATACCGATAAAGTAGCAACATTTTTGCAACGTTGTTTCTATGAGAAAGAGATTGCCGAATGGAAAATATGACATGACCCACATGGCAACACTTGGAAAGTGAAGATTTGATAGCTCCAACTCATACAAGGTACAATACTTCATTTTAGGTCTAATCTCATTACTTCACAAGTAATTACTGTTGTGGGGCTCTCCCCTTTTTACATAAGATGGACTCGCCCAAAGTATACTTATACTGACAGAGAGAATATCTGCTGTTGAGATATGTCGAGATACAGTCTCGACGTCTGTCGAACTTTCTGCTTTGCTAGAGAGGAACCCGGACGAAGCTTTGCCGAAGGGCAGGGTTTCGTCCGGGGATGTAGACAGGCCCTGAACCCGTCTAGGCGGGTTCAAAGGGCATATTTTTGGCCGAGCCTACGGGCTCGGAGGAACCCACTTTAAACCCGGCTTTGTGCCACATATATTCTCGTGGGTGGGATATTAAATATCGATATACGTTGAGAGATACGGAGACAGACACAGGGTGTTGTCAGAGAGTTAT